ATCTAAATGCAAATCTTTTTTTTGTATCCAGGTTAAGCCTGGAAGTACTTGGAATTACAGCAAAGATCTCTGTGCAATTTGTGTGTTAGAGAGCAGGATATCCAAGAAAGCCAATTATATGAAGGAGATCACAGCTGCCTTATTGAGGACTTTCACTGCTGAAAGCATGATAGGGCAATATAATTCTATTCAATTTCTGCAAGCATATAGGATCATTGCCTGTGCCCATTTTGTCTTTCAGGTCCCAGTACAAAATTCTGAACTCAAAACAAATTTGACCTTTGAATGCATAGGTGTTACACGGCCACTAATACTGAAGAATGCCTCCTTCCTTGTGCGCTGTTGATGATGTCTTATTATGGCAATCGCTGTTTAGGGGAAAGAATAGCTTGGGGGCAATGATTCATGACCCTGTTTTGGTGGAAACAGAGTGCAGGTACAATGAGGCTCATTCTATTTTCCAGAATGATTGCATGTCACAATGGTATGTTCCCAACTGGGGAGCACCTTCCTGTGAGGAGTTCATAAATTATTCCCATCTGCTGCATGTCCCGAAGATTCACCGGTGAAAAGCAGGATGGAGGAGTCAGGCTGGAGGAATTCATTGATGATCCAATAATTTACAAACTAAGGCAGTCTGTCAGAACAAGGGCTGATTGAAGGTGGCTTCTGCTGGGAGCTGTTTCTTCCAGGTTTAACCTACATTCTCCAAATGAACTATTTTCCACTTGACCACTTCTGACAATTTCCTGGTCAGTTCCTTTAATCCTATCTTTTACTGCCTATTGTTTTTAATATTGATGCATGACCATTGTTTTGTGTTGGTGGCTTAATAATGTGTGATACCGAACATCATCCAACCTACTGCTTTTCTGAAAGGATTCCTTTATGGAAGGAACAACTGTGCTGGTGGCCTGCTGGGATTCTACTGCCCTGTATCAGGTTGTGCCACACGTGGCAACATCCTTTAACTTGTGTTGGTCACACCTTCTGCTGCAGCAGCAGCCTGCTTCTGCATCCTGGGTTCCTCCATTGTCATAAATGCAAGGATGTATGATGGTCCAGACGTGGGCCTTAAGAGGCACTTACAATGGGCATTCACTCAGACATGTTTCATAGCAGCACTCTGGATGGCAATGCCAATTCCTGCTTCAATCCATCTCCACCTGCTCTCCCAGCCTCCCAAAGCTGGCCATAGGTAACATTTGTAAGTTTGGAGTAAGGACCTCTAGAGCTGCAGCGTGAGAATTTCTAAACAAGTGTTTTTGATCTGCACTATCACTGAGGGCTCTGCAGAAGATTTCACATTAGTTACTAAGTGTTTCAAGGAGGGCTACATGCCAGATAAGTGTGCCAAGGTTGTGAATTTCTGGCTTATTTATGGTCATTCCCAGAACTTTGCACACAGGTGACTAATGTATATGATCCTCCTCAGGCAGAAATCTTTGCTTGTTTGCAAACCCAGTGAGATCTGAATCCCGACATGTTGGAGCAAAGGTGGGAACTATTATAGATATCTTGTCAATAGATGCATGGCCTTGAGCAGGCAAATATAATTTGCTCCTTCTGATCTGTGCACTGTAACTCACTCCAAGATTTATCCTTCATCCAGCACCACTGAAACAAATTAACTGGTCAGTATCAAGTTGTTGTTTGTAGGAGCTTGCTGTGCTCAAACTGGCTGCTATTTATTTCTAAATGAACAACAGTTACTACATTTCAGAATGTACTACATTGGCTGTAAAGCGCTTTGCAATATTCTGAGGTTGTGAAAGACAAATGCAAGCCCTTATTGCTTTTCTCCATGAGGCTGTGCTATAGAATGGCACTGATGGTCCTGTGAGGAGTTGACTTTCTCAGGAGCACTGACTAGCTTGTCATTAATTTCTACTATTCCTGAGAAGACACCCTCAGTGGATCACATTCTTTGACATAATCCAGTGTCACTCAGCAGATGATTGCGTGACTGATCATTACAATACCAACCAAAAGTATGAGGACAGTGAACAGGAAACCTCTCCTAGTTTCCTTAATGCTCTCCCACTTATCAGGGTTTGTCTTTGTGAATGGGGTCAAAGTCTTGAGTTCTTTGAATAGGCAGTGTCATGGTATCCTCCCACTGAATATATTGCTACCTTCTGTAGTGCTGAGATAATATGTCGATGGTGGTGTCTACACAGCTTCAAAGATTGCTCAGAGGCACGCATTTCCCTTCAAGAATTGTTGCTGTGCGTACAATATAGGCATTTAGACTGACTCATCTTCTGTGTGGGAATGTTCATTCATTCAAAGCCTCCATTGCCCTGGTCTACGTCCGTTATATTGATTAACATCTGCTCGCTAAATTATGGCATTTTGTGTCTTTCTTTTGTGCCCAATGGTACTTTTGACTTTGCCTTCGTAGATTTCTTGAGGTCTGATAACTGCACTCTGTTGGGATGCTAAATGTCATGCTGTGCCTGGATTTTCTGCATCACATCTAAATCCTGTGATGGATTGGTCATTAGGCTCATGAATTGATGATGGGACTATTAAATAAGCATTCTTGAGACCCAGATTGTGTGTGTATATGTTGGCTGTAGTACAGCAGGTAGCACTATAATCCAGGCTGACATTCCCAGTGCAGTACTGAGGTGGTGCTGCACTGTCAGAGACACTGCTTTTCAGATAAGGCATTAAACGAAGAACACTGTCTGCCCTCTCGGGTGGTCAGAAAAGATCCTACAGCAATTATTTGAACAGCAGACATAGTTATCCCTCAGACAACATCAGAAGTATAGATTATCTTATCAATATCACCTTGCTTTTTGTGTGGATCTTACTGTGCATAAATTGACTGCCATGTTTCCTATCTTACAACAGTACTTTTTGGCTGTATTCTATAAATGCAAGTCTTCTTTCGAATGACCATGATCTATATACTTTTGACCTTCCCAACTCCTCTGGATTTATCATTTCTCATCTCCTTTCAGCTCCATCAAGGGCAAAGTACTGGCTGCTTCTGCTACTTGCTGTCTCTCCTGTATGAGATGCGTCTGAGAAGAGCAATCCCACCAACAAGCTGCTTTTCTCTCCCTTCCCTCAATCCATGGAGAAATGCTTACTTCGCCTGACCACCTGACTCACTGCTTCCATTGCCCAGTGAAATCGCAATGCAATAGCTGGCTTGCTCTCCCATACACTGTTTTAGTGCATTAGCATTTTTAAAGGTGTTGGTTCTTCTTATTGAACTAGGTGCTTTATTGAAACCCTGCTGTGAAAATACAATAAGCATGGAAAATGTTACTTGAGAAAGTAAAACTCTGGGTCGCATATCATGCCTGTTGCTGCTGAATAAAGTGTAAGCAATGCGCATAATCCCTCAAATCTTGCTCAAATGGTCACTTCAAGGCTATAGCATGATAATATATTGTGCTGCTCCATGGCTCAGTTGGTTGACACTGTTTGATGTGTTACTGAGTCAATCTAAACCAGGCACGTCCCAAGATTAATTCCAGCTGCGTTTTGAAATAGTTGACCCCAGCCATGTTGGACACCATAGACAAGATAGATGTGGTGAGTAGTCTAGGTTCCTGCTCCTCCTACTCACTTTCCATTGGTGTGTGTCTGTGTGTGTGTGTTTAAGAGCAGGATCAAACTTGGGTTATGATTTCCACCACCACTCCTTCCCATCAACACTGTGCAGACTCATGTGAGGAATGGTACTTGAGTGAGATACCAGGGGGCTGCTGGCACCTTGACGCACCCCCTTGAGGATAAGGAATTACAATTATACCATCTGACATAGTTTCTGTAATGTAGGACCAGACAAAACACATGCCTTACACGTTCTGTGTTGCCCTGTTTTAGTGTTGTTTTTCAACACACAGTCTATATTTTCAATATATTTACATCTCTGACATTTGCTACTCATAACTGCCAGGCACTGAGTTTAACATTGGATCACACAAACTTGTACAGCACTTTTTGATTTTCATAACTCAGTTAAGCTCTGAAAGTCCAGTCATACCAGGCAGAATTCTCCTGCACCTAAAAGCCTGTGGCTTAGGAACATGATATTGCACCAACCTTATAGATGAAAATGAGGCAGGGAGTGTCAAGAGAGAGGGGAGAAAAAAGCACAACAAAAAGACAACAAACAATGTCTAATAGTTTGAGGTTAATGGTGACCAGGGACTGAGTTGATGAAGTAGGACCTTTCAGCCAGGGTCAAATTCTGACCTAGCGTGCTGACGGGAATTCTCTGATGTCTGCTGGGTGAAAGGGCTCTATTGTCAAGTGAGTCAGGAAAATGACAATCCAATCACTAGTTCACAGCTTATAACTGTTGATAATCCAGCCCACTATAACCCGGAGACAATAAGGATGGCTGGTATGCGAAATCAAAACGTTGCATTGCTTCCAAGCCCTGCCATACTGGAGCTCGAGTTAAGGCACCTTGTTGGGACAGAGTACAGGGGGCTTTACTCTGTATCTAACCTGTGCTTTATCTGATCTGGAGCTGCTTTGTGCTGTCACAGCTAATCTTAATGCTACTTGATCTGTCATGTCTGAGTGCCTTTGTTCTGATCAGTGCACGGGATGTAAACTAGATCAAAACGGGCCTTAACATCCCTAACCACCATGGCAACTTTAGCCAGCTGATGAGCCAGATCTTCAGGTGACTTCCTGTCTGCTGTTCAGAGACCAATGCTGTCATTATTTCATGCGCTATAGCAATCAAGTCATGTGATACTGGCATAAGGTGCTTGGCTTTAATGTTATTCTCTTTCCCTCTTATGTCTCCAACCCCGGCCCACTCATTCTCTTGTATCACAACCTTTCTCTTTCTCTCCCGCTAATTGTTTGTTCCCTGTTTTATTTCTGTCTCTCCTATTTCTTCATTTCTTTTCTTGTCTTCATTCTGTCATACTCTCGTCTTCAATATTTTTCTCTCTCTCTTCTTCACCTTTCCATGCTTTTCTATTCCATATTCTGCGCCCTTCTCTGTTCCATTTCAGTGGCAGGCAATCTCCCTCACAGTGATTGAAAAGGTGCAGATAGCCGCCATCATCCTTGGCTCCCTCTTCCTAATTGCTAGCATCTCCTGGTTAATTTGGTCCTCCCTCAGTCCGTCGGCTAAGTGGCAGAGACAGGACCTGCTCTTCCAGATCTGTTACGGCATGTATGGCTTCATGGACATCGTCTGTATAGGTAAGCATCTCTGTGTCAAACATCAAACTGTACATCATACTATGGTCAGTGTCCTCTGAACTTTTCTTTCTTGTGACTTCTAAAAGTTCAAATATCCCAAATTGCACCTCTTCCTTCCATACTATGTTGAAATCAGCACCATGGCCTCCTAGTTTAACCTTCCTAGGACCTTAAGGTAGAACGTTTCTGCCTTCCTTCCTCTGACGATTTCCAAACTTTCAGGACAGAGGGTTGATATCACTAAATTTACCTTGGCTTCTTTAGTTGTCAGTTTGGCTCAGTGGGGAAAATGTTTGGCCTCTGAGTCAGAAGGTTGTGGGTTTAAGCCCCACTCTAGGACGTCAGCATGTTATCTATGACTATCTCTATCCAAGCTGAGGGAATGCTGCTCTGTTAGAAGTTCTGCCCTTTAGCTAAGATATTAAACTAGTGGCCTGAGATATTAAAGATCCAATAAGATACTTTTTGAAGAAGAGCAGGCAATTTTTCTGCTGTCCTGGCCAACATTTCTCTCTGAACTGACTCTGGCAAAACCAATTAGCTGGTCATTCATCATACTGCTCTTAGTATTATCTTGCTGTGCGCAAATTGCCTGCTGCATTTGGCTTTATAATATGACTCTACGTTCCAAGCAATTAATTCAGTGAAATGTTTCTGAGAGATATGATAAGGCGCTATAAAATTGCAACTCTTCCGTTTCTCTTCTTCCTTTTTTCAGTCTCGGTATCTGGTACTATTGGTTTTCACCTGAGCATTCTCCATTTTAAAAAAATACAAATTACCTGTCAAAAAGTCATACTTTCCAAGTTTTCCTGAGCATGTGCGAAAAGGACTTAAGGCATCATGGGAATAGAACTTCCTTTCATAATTAATTATTGCCAAAGAGTGGGCCAAAGCTCCCATGTTGCACTTCACCATCTGAGCCAATTTAGTGGCCTAATTTTGTAATCCCATTGATAAATAATAAGACAGATTGCATTTATTTGTTACCATCATTTGCACTCAATCTGTCTGAAAACTGTACTGTCATTTTTATGTCCAATGTGATTTATATGCCAGTCTTTAACAAAAATAATGTTTATGAGCTGTACGATACAAACTGCCAACAACTCATAACGAAAGATTAGTTGGGTTTTCAACCAGGAGATCCAGGTTCATCCCAAGCTTTTTCTCAGTTTGATTGTCTTAGCCTGTGTTGGCTCACGAGAAAGGGGCAATGGTTGGGGAGGGTTTCCTTTCCTCCCCCACTACATCACTGCACTGTACTAGTTGTCAGTTGTTTAGTATTAAATGTCCATTAGGAAAAAGTAGTGATTCAATTACAATGCTGTGGTGGCCTGCTGACCATCATGATGCCAACAGCAGTTCTGATCAAGATTCTTTGCATGTATGACCAGAAGGCCCAGTAAATCAGTGATCCTGTGGAATGACATTGTCACCAAATAAACAGATCACTCGTGGTATTGCTCATAGTAAATCTGAGAAGACATTGTGTCATAATGACAGGTGCATGATACCGTAAAATGTATCATAGAAACACAGACAGTGTCACATTGTGCTCGACGTTTCTGCACAGGGATAAAGGGACTGTCTCGATAGCTTTTCTGTTAGTTTGGTGATGCACTTTTATAAGACTGCAAAGTATATTCAAATCCAGCAATGGAATATTGTAGCTCTGCTTAACAGAATCAATGCAGTCAAAGCCAGGCAGATCAATAGACTGGATGATATTGGCCCATCCTCTGCGAAGCTGTCAGTTCTCTGAGATTCTGCACAAAGCAGAGTAAGAACTGCTGAGCTCCATGGGGACATAAGAGACTAGGTCTTGAGGTTTTGTTTCAGCCTACACATAACAGCAGCAACAACCTGCATTCATGTAGCACCTTTTAATACAGTGAGACTTCCCAAGGTGCTTCACAGTTGTGTGTTATTAGACAATAAAATGACACCAAGTCCACATGAAGTGATTTTAGGACAGGTAACTAAATGTTTGACAAATGAGGTAGGTTTTAAGGAGTGTCTTAAGGGGAGAGGGCAGCAGAGAGATTTTAGGAAGGGAATTCCAGATCAATGAGTAATTCCTCACCATTCTTCACGCCTGTGGAAGACTCTTCTGGATGGTGACAATATCTGGAACTCTGCATCCCACTTTGTCTAGGGCCAAGGTCAATAATTACCTGTTGCAAAGTTGCCAAGTGGCTGCAAATGGTGCACAGTCTAATCTGTTCAAGAATTCCCTTGTTCTCAACCAGGTTGAACCTGTCTTATTAGAGTTTGTTTCTGACCATAGCTTTTCATCCCAAACAATATAGGCAAGACTTCTTTGAAAATAAGTAGGAAGTAGGAGATTTTGGATAACCTGGTGACTGGTAAATGGAGCACTGGGAGCGTGTGCACAAATCAATTATGTGGAATTGTCTGTAAAATTCTCCCAATGGGATCCGTTTTAATGCTTTTAAATTTTCAACAACTCTTGTGTCTAATCGTGAAAGATGACCTTTAGTTTAAATAGTCTGAAGTTAATGTACCGTATCAGCCTGACCTTCTTCATGCAATGTCAATTGGGATTTGTTGTCTTGTACACAGTACTTTAGTTCTGCCTCGAGGCTAATCGGGATATTCTCTATGGAGAAGCAGGTGACTTTTCAGATACTAGTGGAACAACAAAGAACATCTGAAAAAAAAGATAATCAAGGACGTGAAAAGGCCATTCAGTCTATTGAAACTCATCCCTTTAGTACCCAAACTCCCCAGCCTAGTATTTGAGTTGCATTTTAATGCTGTCTAATGTTTCAGCCACTATGCTTATTAAAAGAGCAAATCCCCACATTTCAATAGGTATAGCCATCACCCTTTTTATTTGTAAATACCTCTAAAACATTCACCCTAGTATCTGTTTTGAAATTAATTCTTGAAGTTAAATTTGCATGGAAGGCACTTGCAGTGGTTTTGAATATCTTGAACACCCTTGGGGTTTGCATGCTTTATTGTTTTACATCACCATCCTAAATACAGGTTAGAGACAGCAAGAATTGAAGATGCTGGAGTCAGAGATAACACATTATGGAGCTCTCCCTCATTTTACCTAGAGTCTGCAAAACTTTCAAATCTATGCAAGTCTTTCTGTCCTAATTGTAGCCAAGAGAGGAAGGGCTATCTGAGTTGTCACCTGCACTCCCATAAAAGGCAATATTGCCTTATGGATAAATCATTATCTTATATTCAGCTTATGCTTTGTTTCCTTGGTTTTATTAATCTTAGTAAATCAATAAAGGAAAGAATCTGATGATGCAACTAAATGGAATTATGAATGATTGTGCAGGTCAAGTGTGGCCAGCTGAATGGGAGTTGAACCACAGTGTTGTCTTGGGATGCGTTGGCTGAAGAATGATTTCAAAATGTTTGTGCCTTGTCAAGAGTCTTGGCAGCTCTGAAATATTAATTACTGCTAAATGATGATAACATAATGAATGACATTGTTTTTGAGTTTAAAAATTTGAACACTCTTTTCCAGGCCTCATCATTCATGAGGGATCATCTGTGTACCGAATCTTTAAGCGCTGGCAAGCTGTTAATCAGCAATGGAAGGTACTGAACTATGAAAAATCCAAGGACCTAGGGGAAGCCATTAGTGGGACAAGCAAGACAGGGGGAAGACATTCACGGACGAACCATTCATCAAACAATGACAGGAGTTCCACTCAGCGCACTGGAACCATTTTGAATCATCACTGTGGATATACCATCCTGCACATTCTCAGCTATCTGAGGCCTAACAACACTCAGAACGGTAACAGTTCAAATAGAGAGCTGGTCATGCGAGTTACAACAGTCTGAAATGAAATAAAAAGGACAACTTACTGTTCACAAACTTTACAGACTCTCCACAAAAAAAAACAAGTACCACCACCAGGGTTGTAAAAGGATGTTAACTGAAGTGTCAGAATGAGATCAGTAAGCTTGGTGTGATGGAACGAAAAATAGGCCTGGACACAGGCCCCAACCTCTATGTCTGGAATTTGCCATCTTTGTTTTCTAAACATTTTTTAAAAAAATCTCACTTGAAGAAAGCTTGGAAACCCCAGACCCAGAATTTTATAAAGGGAGAAAAAAGAAACAAACTGAATCAATGAATAATGGAACGCAAAAGAGTTTGTTTAAAAACTGCCCCCCCAGAAACGTGCAATAACGAACATCAGTTCCAATATGCTGTGGGATCTCGGCAATAAGTTATCTATGTATTTCACCTTTTAATTTAATGCATGTCACTGTTTTCTTCTCCTCCCACCTTGAGTTGGGAGAAAAATAATTTATATGCAAATGGTGGTCTGCAAATAAATTTGGTTTTTCAGGTGGGCGTCCTTAGAGTATTCAGCGAATTTTAAATATAGGTTTGTGAGGAATTTCGGGATATAATTTACGTACATTATCCAAATGTGCCACTGCAGAAGTGTATAAATGATCAATTTAGTGTAACCTATCTTGGTTCCACAAAGTGTACATGTCACATTCAAGAATGGCTTCTCTTGATAAGAGTGCATTCTAATATATACAGGGCACTTCTTTAAATATACATGAATACAATCCAGGATGAAGTTCCTATATATATTTGAACAAAAGATCTAATTAGCAAACACTGGAGACCTGTTAAAACGTGCCATGTATTAATATCATACAAGCATAATTCAACCCCTCCACCTAATTTAGGTGAATCCTCTTTTCAGTTTCATTTTATCTATTTAGATAGACTAAAGTTTTCCCTGTTGATTGTGTTGGACAGAGGAGTTGAAAGTGTAACATAGTAAGACCCCAATCTCTCTTGCAGAATGTGATATTATGAGAGTCAGTAAATATTGATGGGCAACTGGGTTTGATTTCATGACTTCTCAATTACCAATAACAACCTCTCATTCTGCGTCTATGCTGTGTGGAGCTGATGGTTGAGGCTTCATACAGTTGACATCTTGAAACTCTCCAGCAGATTGGAGATCTGTACAGCTGGAGAAGTGAGGACTTTGGCCTTTTATTGCCCACAATTTGTCCATTAAGTTGGCAGTGGAGGTTCCCAATGAGCAGCCTGCAATGAATGACCCCTTACCTTAGCTGAAAGAAGTTTAAAACATGGGTATGGTACAGGGTGGCATGGTGTCCAGGCTGTGTGGAAAATATAGATGAAGGTCAGAAGTGAATACGCAGTGCAAAGCTACAGAAGCTGCAAAGGTTTGGCCTTCAAACTAAAAGGATGCCGGTCCTTAATGGAAATTGTGATGCTAGTCACGTTGATTTAAGAAGCCAATCAAGTGAAAATGTGTTGCAATGAATTTTCCAAAAAAAGGAATAAAATATGTTAATAACTGATCAGTCCAGCTACAAACTGATGCACCTCCAAATACAGCAAAACCTAGGCTGTTTGGGCTGATAAGTGGCAGATAACATACACGTCATATAGGTGGCATGCAATAACTATGTCAAACGAAGGAGATCCTAAACATCAGCCCTTAACATTCAGTGGCATTACCATCACTGAATTTTCCCCCCACTATCAACGTCCAGAAGACTATCATTGACTAGAAACTGAACTGGACTAACTATGTAAATACTGTGGCTACAAGAGCAGGTCAGAGGCTAGGAATCCTGCAGCAAATAACTCGCCTCCTGACTCCTCAAAGTCTGTTCTCCATCTACAAGGTACAGGTCAGGAATGTGATGAAATACACTTACCTGGATGAGTGCAGCTTCAACAATACTCAAGAAGCTTGACACTGTCCAAGACAAAGCAGCACATTTAATTGGCAGAAACGTTCACTCCCTTCAGCATGGTTATACAGTGGCACCAGTGTATACCATCTACAAGATGCACTGTAGAAATTCATTAAGGTTTCCTAGACAGCACCTTCTCAGTCCATGACCACTACCATCTAGTAGCAAGGGTGAGATGGTTCTAAATTAGGATGGTGTGCAACTTGTGGGTGGTGGTGTTACCATGCATCTGCTACCTTTCTCCTTTTAAATGGTGGAATTTGTGGGTTAGGAAGGTGCTGTTGAAGGAGATTTTGAGAGTTAAGATAATGCATCTTGTAGATGGTACACACCACTGCCACTGTGTGTCCATGGTGAAATGAGTGAATATTGAAGCTGGTGGATGGGATGCCAACCAAGATGGCCGCTTTATCCTGGATCATGGACAGGTTTTGGGAAGGCAATAGGTGAGTTATCTGCTTTGGATTCCTAGCTTCTGATCTCCTTGCTTCTGACCTGCTCTTGTACCCCAGTATTCATATGGTTAGTCCAGTTCAGTTTCTAGTCAATGGTAATCTATTTATGGGCCTAAGATGTTGATAGGGGATTTAGCAATGGTAATGCCATTAAATGCCAAGGGGTGATGGTTAGATTCTCTCTTTTTAAGAGTTGGTCATTGCCCTGGCACTTGTGTTGCGCGAATATGACTCATATCAATACATCCCCACATATTTGGGAGGAGATGGCCTAGTGGTATTATTGTGAGACTAATAATCCAGTGACACAGGTAACATTTTGAGGACCCAAGTTTGAATGCTGCCATGGCAGTTGGTAAATTTGAATTCAATAAAATTGGAAATTAAGGGTCTAATATTGACCATGAAACTATTTTGGTTGTTGGAAAAATCCATCTGGTTCACTGATGCCCCTTAGGGAAGTAAACTGCCTTCTTTATCTGATCTAGCCTACATGTCTCTCCAGACCCACAGCAATGTGGTTGATTCTTAACTGCTTTCTGGCCAGCAATGCCCATATATTGTGAATGAAGAAAAAAATGCCCAAACCTGGATATTGTCCAGGTGTTGCTTCATTTGGACCTGGACTGCTTCAGTGTCTGAGGAGTCACAAATGGTGCTGAACATCGTCAGTGAACATCCACAATTCTGACCTTATGATGGAAGGAAGATCTGACACTCTGTCAGTTGTCTCTGAATCAAGTCCCAGAGACTTAAACACATAATCCAGTCTGACACTCCAGTGCAGGACTGATGGTGTGTTGTGGTGTGTTGAACTGCGAGAGGTGCCGTTTTTGCATGAGACATTAATCTGAGGCACTGTCAAGAGCATGTAAAAGATCTCATGGTACTATTTCAAAGAACAGCAGGGGAGTTCTCTCAGTGTCCTGCCAATATTTATTCCTCATTCAACATCTGATTCTGATCAGAATCACCTTACAGTTTGTGAGAATTTGCTATGTGCAAATTGGATGCTATGTTTCTGACATTAAAACAGCGATTACACTTCAAAAAGTGCTCCATTGCACTTTGGGACTTCCTGGGCTTATGCAAGTTCTCTTTTTCCTTTACTTTGACAGGTGTCCACCTGTATTTCACTAAACAACTCCTACCATTCATAATCCAGGTGAGAAAGTTCCAATCTATTAAAATGCTCTTCCATATATGCAGGACCTTTCTTTGTAGTTTCTACAGTTGCTATGTGCAATGCCCACCTGAGTTGTACAAGCTAATGAGATTCCAGGTTTCATTTCCAGTCTGTACCGTTCGCTGATCTTAGCTTTGAAGTGTACCAGAGGCTCTATGGTTGAAGTCCCTTGGGTTAGGGAGGAGTATGGAGTCAGCCAGGGTTCTCATTCTCCTGATATCTATTTAGTAAACAAGCACAGAGACAGACATGGATCAAGTCTTTGGAACAAGAACCTTTTATTGAATTATGTATAATATATACAGAACAGGGAGAGTTCCCTGCATGACCATCTTTCAGTAAACCTTCTACACATCATGTAACCTGACATGGTTGCTGGTGATGCCATCAGCTATCCTAGAGTTCTTGTAGTGCAGTGGTAGTGTCCCTACCTCTGAACCAGGAGACAAAGGTTGATGCCCACCTTCTCCAGTGGTGTGTAATAACATTTCTGAACAGGTTGATTCAAAAATATCTGCCATCAGCTATCGTATTGCTGGTGCTTTCTGTAGTACAAGGGAAGTAGCTAACATGCAGACATTGGGTTGATGACATGAGGCTTGGGTGTGCTTTCTTCTCCCTACACAGTCAGAAAGCTGTCAACTTGCATATGAAGAATGGAAATTTTGAATGGTGCAGTAGGCCTGAACCTGGGTAATAATGCCCTTGGCATAGGTTTAACTCTTCAGAAAAATCAGGAGAGATGGAACAGACAAAGGTGGTCAAATATTGGCATTGTCCTGACTCTGCAGAATGTGTTGTCAACCAAGACAATACCAGGTCCTTGACACCAACTTCCTCCAAAATATTATCACCACCTTGTAAAACAGCAGATCACCTCAGTTGTAACAGCATTAATTTAGATTCAGTTGCCCATCAGCGACTAATTAAATCCAAGATGAGATGGTAGTTTCTTTTCAATCAACGGTTTACAGAAATCCAGACACAAGCAAAATGCCTCGAAAAGCCAGCTCAGTCAGGCCATTTTATAATAAGCTGGAATTCCAAAACTATATACTAACGACAACTGGTTTCCTTTTCTCTGAGTAATAAATCTCACTGTCTGATTTTTGGGATGAATTTCTGTTTTTCTTCTACCCTGCACACTCCAGCCTCTCCTGAAAAGCACAGATTTCTGGTTTGATTTCACAGTCACTGACAGTTCTCTGGTACCTTGACCAAGTAATCTTTCTTTATGTGAGAATTTGAACAGCAAGTTCTGGCAGACTGATTCACTAAAGGTTTGGGGGGTTAGGGAGCATAAGAAAGAAGCCCTGACCAGGTCTGGCTCAGAATGCCCTATAGACACATCAATTCATCAGGCAGCTCATGTGGTAGGTTTGTCTGGTACTTGTGTCCCATCAGATGGCAAATATGTCTTCTCTTCAATTTGGGGAAGCAGAAGTGATGAAGGGAAAGCAGTTACCAGCTCACTCCAAAATTTTGACTGTTCTCAAAGCTGTTCTTTCATGTGGCTGCAGTTGATCAGTACACCAGTCACGAGGCCTCAATGGAAGAAATAACTAGCCCAATATTCAAGTCAAGTTCTGGATCCTTTTGGAATCTCTGGTGCTGAAAGTCAAAATTTATATGGGAAGTGGAGCCAGAATGCAGCAGAGAAATCTGCCCCTGTTTCTATTCATTGTCATTCCAAAATCTATAAACCCAGGACCTGTGCCTCAGCTATGTAGCATTGTCTAGTTTCACTACTTGTGCTGTACCCTGTTTGCTAATAAATTTAGCATGTGTGCCCAACTCATTTAATGACCATTTCACATCATGAGCAAGGAGCAGCTTTTCTGTGTAGTAAATGTTTGACTCTCCTGTGTCCAATTATGAATGTACTTGAATCAAAGCTGGGTGATGCAGAATGTCAGGCACTGCCCGTCCATTTAGGCCACTAGATGGGATAGAATTCTCTTTTCAAGTCATTTGAGACCTAAAACACAGTCAAGAGTGGCTTTTATCAGTTGTAATGTCATGTTAAGTGCAAACAAATCAATTCACTTCAGCACATTAATTCTCCAGGGTTATTTAGAGACCCAATAAGAATGATTCATGAGAATAAAAAATATTAGGTGCATCCTGGGCTCTACCTCATGTTTGGAAATGAAACAAAAAGACTAGCATTCATACAATTCCTTTCAAGATTCCAGGACCTCAAAAAACTTTACAGCCAATGAAGTAATTTTCAATTGTCATAATGTTGGAGTCAAGTGTTGTTGAATTAGTGAAGGGGGATGCAACTTCATTCAAGTCTATTACAAGTTAATTCATGGAATAAGCGAAGTTACAGATTGTCACGTTTGAAAATTTCTGGATATAGATCACTGCCAACTTATTTTACCTAAATTGATTGAACAAGCTGGCAGGTGTTATCTTTTTCATTTGGATTACTTTGCATTCGTAGCAAATTATGGCATCTGGTATATGATTTTAAAAAGTACAGTGGATTCTTTTGGTATTGTACAGTAGTAGTTTGAGGACTGGAGCATATGTTTGCTGCTAGCCCTTTAACACCACAGGTCTGAGTAGAAAATCCTGATAGTTGCTACTGCTGAAATCAATCAGAGCACTGTTGTAAACTTGAGGCTTCAGTTCCTTTTTCTATTTAAAAAAAAACATTGCACTTGCAAAAAAATTAATATCTAGAACATGACACTTGTATAGACACACATATGTACACTCATGTGCATATGTACAATATATTGCTTTAAGGATATTTGCCATATCATGGACAACATATCTGCTACTAAGTTGGAGAATAATTTCTTTAAAGCCATAAAGTCTATTTGTTGTTAAGTAAATGGAGCCTCTGGTCATTTAGAGTGCATTCGGTGTAATTGAAGAAAATGTCTGTGGTGAGGTCAGAATTGAATTGATCTCAAGGCTGCCAGTCAGAACTAGGAATAAAATCCCTGTGTATTTCTTTTTGAAATCCAATCACTTAGAGAGAACATGGTGGCTGGCTCCTGTATTCAGGTATTTTGCATGCAAGATGTACTGCTTTTAAACATACTTTAGGCAGATCTCCTAGGATGCTGCTTACAGTGAGCTTCAACAATATAACAACAGTGATGTGATAAGTCTTACAGGAAGTCAGTATGACACTTGCAGGTCAGATGCTCTCACCTCTCGTGGCTTTGTATGTAGGAATTAAAACTGAGTATTAGGGAAGTAGAGTTCTAAGGTGGAAGATAATTGGACCAGGGTGTGTGGAAATTTTTTATATCAAATCTATTTTAAAGTCAAATGTTGTCTTTGTTTTCTTTTAATTTCAATTGATTTTGTTATTTATAGTTCAACAAGGCTCATGACAATTTGGAAAACAGAACTGACAGAACATTGGAAATGCTTTACTGTACTGTACTGCAAAGTGGGGAGACACAAAACTGGGTACTGTGGTGTCACCACTGCCAGGAGGGTATAATTACCATGTGACATGTTTACATACATAAGTTCTATTATGAAGGTGAAGATAGAAATTTATAAATTTCTAAGCTGAAAAGCTGAGAAAGGTCTGACAAAAATATAACAGCAGGAAGTAAAATTTTACAAACAGAAAGTGTATGTAGATGTAAGATTTTTAAAGTATTATGTAAATCCTTTACCCTTTAAATGGATTTATAAAGCTAGAAACAATAATATTTGATAATTCACTGCATTGATTCATCCCAAAACATTAACCTTAAATACCCATAAGAAACGTGCACACTAGTCTCACATGTGATAAATCCATGCATAAATTTTAATAAGGAGGCATGAAGATGGCTTCTCCAAGCCTGATCATGCCACCAGGTCCCAAAGGTAGCAATAGGTCTCTTTCTTTTCAAGTAGAAATATGACATCTCTTTCTACCATTTTGTTATGACCTGGTTCATGCTGGATGCAACAATATCGGATGTTTTATGATCTCCCAGTTATTCAAACCAATTGCCAAACAGAAATGAGAGACCCCATGCCTTTTCAAACCACAGTATTACTTTCAATCATGGCTTGCCTTGACCATAGCTTTGCTGTAAGCAACCTTTGATTCATGCTTTTATATAGCGACATCATTGCCTTTTATATTGCAGCAATCTCCTGCTCTCACACTGCTCCCTGCTGTGATGAAAAGCTTGCATTTTAAAAGCTTATGCATTTCAATGTCAGTGATTCTTTAAGCCCAATATTTCTCCACCTATCTTATTTATTTATATGCTCCTATCTTTACAGCACCAGGTCCTCAGTCCTGAAATTCTTCTTTCTCTAATATTATCTGCATCATTGAGAAAAGAAAGGCTTTGAGAACACAATTTACACCAATTCCATTTATATCACTGTTCTGTTTTTGTTTGAAATAAAAGCAATGCAAAAACATATTGATATTCTTGCTGGGAGTACACAGCGAGGGGCAGGAATCCAATCCAACAATATGTAGAATCTGCATTAATGCCAAGGCACAGGTTCCTGTTTCTGATTTTGCTGACAGGAACCCTGTCCATCATGGCACCTTCCTCAATTATGTTGTTTGATGTTGAGTGACCCTTATTAAATGGGACAGTTGAGAGGTGAGGGGGAGGAGTACGTTGCAACGCTGGCTTTGAAAATCCTTTCACGTTTAAAAAAAACCAGCTAAAGGATTAAAAGTAAGTCTGGGGCTGGGTGGGGAGCTTAATTCCTTTTGAAGTTTCCTTGAACAAGACAGCTCAAATGTAAATGTTTGAACAGTGAAAGATTTAGAGTCCATGGAAATTCAGAAAGACAGTGAACAAAAAGTGGGTGACACCTATGTAAGAAACACCATAAAAAATTTGCAGAGTGGATTAACTTTCAAACATTGAAAGAGCAGTAAGCTTAAATGCGTTTTTCACCTTATTTTTGAATGAGGTGCTTATTAAGTTAAGGCATGGCTCCATGGAGCCAACAGTTCTAACCATAACTTCGTTCAACGTGGAAAGCCAAGAGGAAGACGGCATTGATATAGGAGTAGGAGTAGGCCATCTGGCCCTTTTAGCCAGCTCTACCATTCAACAAGATCATTGCTGATCTTGTATCTAAACTTCACCTTCCTGCACTAACACTATATTCATTAATACCCAAAGATCCATCAATTTCTGTTTTGAATATACTCACGACTGGGCATCCAAAGCTCTTAAATAGAGAATTCCAAAGATAAAGTGAAGAAACTTCTCATCTCGGGTCTTAACTGGCTGATCCCTTATCCTGAGATTATGATCCACAGCTCTAAACTTTCCAGACAAGGGAAACTATTCAGTATAGCAAGCCCTCACTTCAACTGATATGACTTTAAGTGAATCTTGGTTGCCTGTAGGAATCCAGAGCCAGAATTAGGTTTCTTCAGACATTTCTTGCCTGGAAAAACCAACGTACAAGTTGAAATAGTGTCCCATACAGGTACAACACTATGCATTCCTAGCTGAAATAAATTGCAAAACAAAATAGATCACTGAATAAAACAGAAATACTGTATAATTTTAAATTAGACAATCCTCACCAGTATGTCTTAAGTAGCTCCTCTGACTCAGGGTTGACTTGTTTTCACTGTGGCTTGATGGGTTCTGAGAAGATTGGTAAGTCCAGTGTGCAATCTCCAGACTGCTGCAAGTGGACAGATGTTGCATGGAAAGTCAGTTAGATGAGTTGGCGTAGTTTTCCCATTTCCTTGCCAGTTTGAGCGTGTTGCGGAGTAGATTTGTAGCTCGGGTTGTGGGTGTTGAGGTTGGTTGGCTCGCCGAGCTGGTTTGTTGTTCCGCAGATGTTTCATTACCGTGCTTGGTAACATCCTCAGTGCAGCCTCTGATGAAGCGTTGGTGTGTTTTCCCGCCTGGCTTTTAAACTCTGGGGTCCGTTGCGATGGATTGCCTCACTTCCGGGTTTCCTCCGTAGTGGAATGAGTTGCTTGGAGGTTTCTTTGCACTCTTTCCACCAATTCGCCTGTTATCTCACTGGCTGTAAAATGACTCCTGTGCCTCACCTACACCAGACAAGGCAGGCAGACTCCTGTACAGTATTTTTCACCCAAAAAGCCCAGAGACAAGGAAAGCAATTTTACTTGTGTGCGGTAAAAGTAAAACACAATCAAAATCAACTTAAGTGAAGAGTAAATCAAGTCAGGCTTTTTGCTTGCAAAAAACTCTTAAAAATGAAGTTGCCTTGATTACCATGTACATGAAACCAAATTAAGCCATGGGGCCCAACAGCTCCTGATGACACCATTTGCATGGTAACTCACATGATACATGGCTCACGATGACATGTGCACAACCAGGAAGCACTGAATCCTCATGTGTAACACAGATTAAAGCACCCACGTGCTGAATTTAAAGGCAAAGATGGCGATTTTGTCTGGGGAGACAGCCTAAAAGGAAAAGAACAGAGGCAAAAAAAACATTCAACAGGACGACTTAAAATGCGGACCTTCACAGGAGCAATTAGCAAATGGAATAAAAAGATATTAGGACAAGCGACTAAACAGTTGGTATAAGACAAAGATTTTAAAAAGAATCTTAAAAGGGGAAAAACAAGGTAGAGCGTGTAAATTATTGTCTGATCTATACTTGTATAAAACGTCTTGGGACATTTTATCACATTTAAGCTGCTACATCAAGACAAGTTGTTGTTCCTTGTGTTTAGTGGTGATTTTAACACAAAACCACATGGGCTCTAAAGATTTCCATCTGATTTGAGTGATGTCTCACTGCACTGGGTGCAGGCACTCTCATTAAATCAGATGGAATAAAATTCTCCTTTTTGAATTGAGATCAACTTTGTTACAGATCAGTATGAGCAGCCTTGGTGCATTTGGGGTCTCTAATTGCATTGATCATTGTGTTTAAAATAGAGCAAAAATCACAATCCACTCTGGGCATCATGCAAAAAAAATTATTCGAGACTTTGCAACACTGTGTGTAACTGCATTAGTTATTAATTATGGGATTGCTCCTGATGTTCTCCCCAAACTATAAGATAGTAATTACCTGATTCAACCACCAAGATCAGGTGACATTACAAAATCCCTCAGAGATCTTCATTCAGAAGATTTCACAAGCTCTTCTTACAATCAAAAACATTATCCTCATTCTGCCATCTCTCACTTGCTGCTTGTGGTAAATGCCATGCTATCTCAAATGAAATATGTATCCCAAAAGTACAGGTCTTTTTTTATTTCTTGCAGGCGTTTTCCAATTATAACATGTGTGGGACAGAGATAAACGGGTAGCACTCAAATCTATGACCTTCTGACTCACAGGCACAACTTCCACATCAGAAACTTCAGCATCTAATTTAGGCTGATCCTGCAGTGCAGTACTGAGGGAATATTGCACTGTCTGAGCTGCCATCTTTCTGATGAGATGTGAACTGAGTACCTGTCTACCTTTTCAGGGGAATGTAAAACTTCCGAAATTATTGAAAGAACCGAGGAGTTCTACTGGCCTAATTTTTACGCCCTAACATCACAAAAATAGATTAACTGGTCAATATCTCATTGCTTTTTAAGGGAGCTTACTTTTTTGCAATTTGGCTGCCATGTTACCTACATTACAAGAACCTATGTTTATAACAAAACATCACAAGGCATTTTACAAGAGAAATTAAAGCAACATTTGACACCATGCCATATAAACAGATATTAGAGTAAATGACCAAAGGCTTGGTCAAAGAGAGATGTTTTGAGGAGCATTTTAGAGAACAAAAGCAAATTGGAGAGAGTGAGAAGTTTAAGGAGGGAATTCCAGAACTTGGGATCCAGGCAATTAAAGGCTAATGGTGCAGCATTTAAAATCAGAGATGCTCAGCAGGCCAGAGTTAAAGGAGCACAGATATTGAAGGAGATAGTAGGAACTGCCGATGCTGGAGTGTGAGATAACAAGGTGTAGAGCTGGATGAACACAGCAGGCCAGGCAGCATCAGAGGAGCAGGAAAGCTGACGTTTCGGGTCTGGACCCTTCTTCAGAAAA